GATTTTTGAATTTTCAAACTATAAACATGATTTTTGAATTAGTGTAAACTAAACACCTTATTTATGAATTTTTCTCTTTTAGTTTTTTCAAGAGCATAATTCTAAGGGAATATTTCATAACTAAGATGTTTAGTTTTATCAATTTTAAATTTAAGAGATTATGTTTAAAATTTCAAATATCAGAATTTTTTAAATTTTATTTATTAACTAATTAATTAAACAATATTTTATTGATTAAATATATTAATGTCATAATTCCATATAATTGGTCACAAATTCTATATAATTGGTGACAAATCACAATTTTCATATGTCACAAATTATTTTACTGCCGGTCACAATTCAAAAAAAATTTTAGGTCACAATTTGTTTATCAATCACAAATCAAAAATGTATATGTCACAATTTATTCCTCGATCACAAGTCTATCAAGTTAATAAGTCACATATTATTCATTGATATTATTTATGAATTTTTCCCTTTTAGTTTTTTCAAGAGCATAATTCTAAGGGAAGATTTCATAACTAAGATGTTTAGTTTTATCAATTTTAAATTTAAGAGATTATGTTTAAAATTTCAAATATCAGAATTTTTTAAATTTTATTTATTAACTAATTAATTAAACAATATTTTATTGATTAAATATATTAATGTCACAATTCCATATAATTGGTCACAAATTCTATATAATTGGTGACAAATCACAATTTTCATATGTCACAAATTATTTTACTGCCGGTCACAATTCAAAAAAATTTTTAGGTCACAATTTGTTTATCAATCACAAATCAAAAATGTATATGTCACAATTTATTCCTCGATCACAAGTCTATCAAGTTAATAAGTCACATATTATTCATTGATCACAAATCACAAATTTTATATGTCACAATTTATTTTACGGTCACAATTCAAAAAATTTATAAGTCATAATTTGTTCATTACTCACAAATAAAAAATTGAAATGTCACAATTTATTTATAAATCACGACTTATTAGATAGTCATAAATTATCAAATTATCGATCACAAATTAACAATTTTTTAGGTCACACATTATTTTTTTGTCACAATTTATCTTTTTCATTAGTCGAATGTTATTTATCGGTCACAAAATAATCAATTTAATGATCACAAACAACCAAATAATCTTTTTCATTACCCGAATGTTGTTTGTCAAATATTTCATCAATGCTGCATATTTTTATATAAATCTTTCCATATTTGCATAAACGCGTTTGATAAAGCTATTAAACAGCACCATACGTTATACAAAAATGATACTTGTACATCACAAATTGTACATAATGGGCTACACCCCTCTCACATGGGGTGTGGGACCCATTGCATAAATTATTTTTTAATATAAGCAGGTCCTACCCTCACGTGAAGGAGTGTACACCCCGATATACAATGTGATGTACAAGTAGCAAGACCGTACATTATAAAGAAATGAATTGTAATATCCAATCTTGCATTGTTCTCTGCTTGCAGCTACTGAATGCGATTCAAGTGGCAAAGAAGACGGAGAAACCCTGGCTTGCAGAAATGTTTTCAGATGTCTATGATAATCTTCCATCGAATCTTCACAAGCAAGAGAAATCTCTTAGAGAAACCATTAAACGACACAGGCAGGATTACCCTACTGATGTGCCTCTATAGATGATTTCGAAGGAAATTTCAACTGTCACCATCGACGTGGCAACTGAAACCTAATCGTCGGAACGACCACCACCACCACTGAATGGCCTAAAAAATTTTAAAAAAAATTAAATGTATGGACTCAATTGAAAATAAAGTCAAACTTACAGTGACCAAAATTAACCCCGCTTCCCTCCAAATATATTTGATTATAACTCACACCAGAAACCCCGCTTCTCTCTCACACACTATTTGTGAGCTATTGTGTGTATTTCTCTACTCCCACAATCATCACTCGCAGTAAATCTAAATCATTCTACTATTGTTTTGAAAAATTTGAACCCTTGTTTTACTCGTTGACGTCGAAGCCGCCAGAGAGAGAGAGAGTGGATAATGTTTGGGATTTTTAGGGTTTGGATAGTATTAAAATTTTGAATTAATATCTTATTTTTGTATAAATAAATTTTATATCTGATTTTTGAAATTGAATTTTTAAAATTTTGATATTGTGTAATTTCCTCTAATTCTAAGCCCCCTGTTTCGCCCCCATTATTTGTCATTTTAATGTTTTGAATATTATTTTTTTAAGAATGTGTGGTTAAAAAAAAATTAAATTTACGTGTAATATTATTTTATTAAAGAATGTGTGATTGATAAGAAACTGCTAAATTTATTAATAATTTCAATGAATGAACACTTAAAAAATGAAAAATATATTTTTGCTGGAGCTTTAGAACTTTTCAAATCTTATGATCTGTTAATTAATCTCGTATTTTAAGAAAACTTTATTCGACTTTTTGACTAATAACATTTGTCCTTCTTTGAAACATTTCTTTAGACAAAGACTCCTTAAATACATATTTTGTATATTGGATACACCGCATTTTGACACTTCTCTCTTAGAGCATCTCCAAAATTTATAAAGAACGTCATTTACAAAATATAGAGCAACTTTAAATATAGAGAGTAATTTTTTTATACATTCAGACAAGCTCTTTATATTGTCTCTTTATTTTATTTTTTCCAATGAACATTTATTAATTTCTCCTCGTGTCATATTTAACATACTTTTTTTTATACGTTTTGATCATCAACTCAAATGTGATTTAAATTATTTAAATTATAGAGTATTGAAATTTGAAATGTATTAACTACAATAATTGTTAATTAAAAATAGAAAGTGAGTTTAACAGTCAAATCAGTCTTTATTTAAAAAAGTTAAAATCGAAAGTCTCTTGGAGCTTTCTTGAAACATATTTTTAAGCAATAACTCTCTAAAATGGAGAGTATCTCGTGATTAGAGAGTTTCTTGAAGATACTCTTACGAAGGATAATTCATTTATTACCAAAATTCAATATAGCAGTACAAAGAATAAGGCATTTTTTCTTATGAAACTAGACAATTAAAGGATTGCTAAAGAAATCAGGTCTCAGAACAACCAAATACAACAGTTTCTACACCTAAATAATGCCTAAATGCATATATCAGACAAGATAACTTGCCACATGCAATACTTGCACATTTCACCAAAAACCACCATAAATGGCAGGTAGGTTTAAACAACGATAGTTCATAATTCCACATAACTATACATTTCAACTTGAGCTCTCCGAGTGTCTCGGCCGTTACCCATAATCAACATGCCTGAAAAGATATACGCAATCAGCAAATAATGACAGACGAATCAATAAAAGAGCTCAATGCAAAAGGGAATGGAACCTGTCAAATGTTCAATCTATTTCTGGCCCTTCTTCAGCAAAACGCCGAACTTCTTCAGCATGTTGCCATTTTTCTTCTTGGGTGAGTCATCTTCAGTATCTTCAGAATAGGGTAAACCCAATTTTCCACCAATTGTGTGGTAGTCAAAAGAACCCGTACTCTTGACATATTTGCCATTATTACCTGTTGAAGATAAATTTAAACAAATAAATGTGTCCCTTCTCTAGGGCTTAAACTTTGAGCACATGATCTAATATGATATTAAAGTAGACAAAGGTCTTGATCTCAAGTCTCAACACAACTGATTTTTGAAGATTGTTCACATGTCAAGCCTTCAATAAAATATATAAATCTAGCCTGCACGTGATATATGACGTGTTGAATACACGATTTTAAAAAATAGAAGTGTCCCATCTCTACCGGATTAAGCATTTAAACAATGTAATTCAACATTACCAGTTGAGAGCATTGCAGCAGCAGCCTCAGCCGCCTTCCTCCACTGGTCCGCTTGCACCTTTAATCTCCTCAGTTCAGCTTCCATCTCTGAATTTGCAACCTGTGCTGCATCGAGCTGCTCGGCAACACGTGCTGCTTTCCCACTACTTTTATCTGCTTCGTCAGTTAAATATCCAAGCTTCATTAAGGCCTCTCGCTCTGCAGCGCGTGCTTCTTCTGCCACAACAAGAGCCTTATCATTTGCTTTGCCTCTTTCTACTTCAGTTTTCATGATTTCAGACTTCAGCATCTCATTTTCCTCTGCTATGCTCTGCAACTGTGTCTCCTTGTCTAATAAACTTGTTTTCATGTCTGCTAAAACTGACTCTGATTTTTTCAGTTCAATTTCAAGTTCAGTTTCTTTTTCTGTTGGCAGGTCTTCCTCCTCCAGATTTGTTCTTTTTTTCTCGAACGAAATACTTTGCAGTGCATTTTCTTTTTCGATCAGCTTTGCCTTCAGTTCCTCAACATCAGCTCTAGATACTTTTAGCTTCGTCTCTAGTTCAGCTTCTCTTTCACTTGAGTCTGCTTTTACGCGCTCCACAACTTCATAAGCACTCCTAATCTGCAACGTGCTCTGAATATAATCTTCCTGATATCTCCTTTCAGCAGCCTCTAGTGCAGCTTTAAGTTGACTTGCTTCCAGTTTCAAATCAGTAAGTTCAGTTTTCAGCAGCTCTGATTCATTAGATTCTCCGTCCACAGAAGAGATGTAATCAGTGCTTGGATGATCTGTTATATTGTTGTTGTTGCCTAGATCAGCCTGGAGTTTGCCAACAAGTTCCTCCAGTGAATTCACTCTATTCTTTGATTGCTCTAACTCGAATACCAAAGATTTGTATGATTCCACAGCATTGATATGTTCAGAACGTACTGTTTCCTCAGTTTTCTTCACCACTTCCAGTTGCATTTGGGCTCTAGTAAGTTCTTCAAGCACCTGAGCTTCCAATTCTTTGCTATTACTTAGCTGGCTTTTCAATTTCTCAACAAACTCAAGATTCCTAGCGAGTTCCACTCTCAAGTTCTGAACTTCGGAATGAGCTGACTCTGCACGTCTAGCCTGGGCAGCTTCTGCTTCAGCCACCCTGTCCAGCTGAATCTTAAGCCTCTGTATGTCGTGCAATGCAGAAGCCAAAGCTGTTGAGTCCATCGAGTGCTGCTTCTGGACAGCCTCCAATTCAGACTGCCATTCTCTGTCTCGGTCCTGAGAGATCTTGCGCAATTCTTGGATACGAGAGTCCTCGCAATCGGAAAGCTCAACCAGCTGCTTCTCAGTCTCCTCGAGTTTTGATGCCATGACTGCAAGTTGCCTCTTAGCTTCCTCTGCCTCCTGCTGAACCCTCCTCTTCCAAGATTCAGATGAGTTCAGCTGATCCTTTGACTTGCTCAGTTCCTCTTGGAGCTGAGCAAGCTGGTTTTCCAATTCAGAGACTCCGTTTGGTCGCTTCTTCTGAAAGTTTACAGGAAAAGGAGGGATGTCAAAGATGGACAAAGAGCAGCTCACTGTAACTTTCAGATTAATAACAGAACACATGGGATTTTAAGGATTTAAGATGGATGCAAGGAAGGTTGATCAAGAATTTGTTGTTACCCTATTAAAAATAATAGAATGACACTACGAATCCCTCAAACCTAGGTGGGAAAATAAAGTAAAATGCATGAAGTGCAAGTATTAGAAAAGAAAAAGTAATGCTGTATGTCTACTAAAATGGCTAGATTGTATTGTGAGGAAAATTCTTAAGATAATTATTTATACACACTTCACTTATTTAATTTATCATATTTATTATTTTCCTCTCACAAGTCTTCCAAAATGCGAACATTTTAAACTTAAATTGAAATGACAACACAATCAAACCATGTGCACCTAAATTATTTTGAAGAAGCTACACTCCTTGAAATAGAAAGCAGCAATATTTCAATGTTTCCATTTGATGAACTAAAAGTTTATTTCAGCTTAACTAATAATTAACCTATCTAGATATTTCAAAGCTTCCGTTTGATAAATGAACAGTTTCTTTCTGCCTAACTGATACTTAACCTAGAAATTAGACTCACAAGTCTAATATATGGTTTTACCATCTGAAAAATATTTTTAGGTATATTTGAGATTTTTCTTCAGTCGTTTCAATTGATAACTGTCAAATGTTGAGAGAGTTTTGCTCAAATATACCTCAGCCACAGGAGTCCGCGGTGATCGACGAACAACAACCTTGGAACTTCTATCTTTTGGAGTTTTGCTTGCTGGATTTGGAGATGAAACAGGATCAGAATCAGATCCTGGAGTTTTGAGCTTCCGGGCTGTCCGGGGTGTGGCAGAAGACACCTTGTGAGGCACATCCAGGGATGCAGGTCTACACTCAAAATGGATACAACAATGATAAGATAAATGAGACACAACATGTGAAACTAAATATAGGCCAATGAACAATTTCTAAGGATGCCAATTACCGATTTTGTTTAATGGCACGTAAAAACTAGGCACAAATTAGTTGGGTTAGATAGAAAATCGAAAAACGGTATATTTATGTTTCCAAAAAGATGGAACCATTGACTCTTCATCCAGGCATCAGATCGTATAATGAAATTAATTCTATCTCTAACAGAGAATATTAACATCAACAGTTCAACACATATCACCACGTTCTTAACACTGATACTCATTGGTCCCCAAAGCATTTTTAGCAACTAAGATAGTATGATTGCACAGCAGACATATTTACCCACATCCTAAGTAGGCAAGATTTTTAGATCCGATCTGATGGAATTTCAAAGATAGACTAACAAAGGTAGAACCCGAATACGATACCACAAACAGAAAAAAAACTCATAAGTGACAATTACCTTGCTTTTGGTGTTTGCATACTTTATTCGTTCGGTAGTGAATGAAGAATATGGAAAACTAAATCTTTTCACCTTCAAAGGCCCACCTGACCCACAGCACCTGCAATAGTTCAGAGGAATTCTTGGCTAAGAAAGAACTTTAGCTACAAACATATACACAAATCAGACAAGACAAATAAAAAGTTCAAGGAAATTAACCTTTAAGTGAATTCAATTGGAAAACCAAACAGAAGATACATACAAGCAATAAAATCCCTTCAAAGAAACTCCAGAGAAACAACCTCCACTTCCACCAACCAAACAAACAAACTAACAACAAAAGGCAAAAAGAAAGAGGTCGCTATCAAGGGAAAATAAATATCATTACCCAAATTGTTCTTTGCTTTCTTTTTCTTTTGCTTCCATTTTACTTCTTGCTTACATTATATAGCAACGACATCATTCAAATAACATCATAAACAAAAATATTACATTTATAGCCCAGATTTTCAGTAGAAATTGTAAGAGCTAAGAGAATTCTCACCAGCCACCATGAATATTCAATGTGAAATGTGCAGAACAGGGTTTTTTTTTATCGTTATTATTCTATATTCTACTGTCCGTTATAATGTATAAATCAAACCAACTGTACAATTAACAAGATATCTGTCCCCACCTTAAACTTGTTCAAATTTCCCTTTAAAGTATTCGGCACCCTAAACAAGAATTCTTAAATCTTTTCACCAATAAGCAAAATATACGTAGAGAAATGCACAGGCAGATCCAAAAGCATCTCATTGAACCATAATAGCACGTGGAGAAAGAGAATAATGGCCGCATTCAAATAATACAGCAAAAACTAACAGAGGTTTCATCTCAAAATTTAGATCTCAAGAACTATAATAATTCCAAACGGAAAACTAAACAAAGCAAGCTCTGTTAACACACAATTACATTGTTTATATAATAATAATGGCATCCACAACTCGAACTTTGAAGCTTAAAACCAACCCACATTGTATAACAAACTCAAAAATTCCACACCGGCTGAGAGCTAAAATAATAGAAAGAAAACACCAGTCCACAAGAAAAAGCCATGCTCCCAGGCCCAGCAATTACAAGCAGATCATACACAGAACCCACTAAAATTGGTAGTTCTTTTTTAGTATGCAGAAAAGGAACACAAGCAAATTAGCAACGTTCAAAGATATAAGAACAGTCTGAAATTACCAAAATTTCCTAAAAAAAGATGAAACTTGTTCCTTTTTTTCACCCTCTTTTGGCAGTGAAAATGGAAGCTGTCTTTTTACTGTTGGAAGAGCAGCTTCTACACAATTTCCAAGAATGGAAAAGGGAGAAGAAAACCCTAGTCTTGGAAGATGCTGAAGTTTAAGAGAGAGAATATACAGTATAGAAAGATGGTGTGTTATGCAGTTGCTTAGTTCTGTAGCATTAACGGTGGTGCTTTTGCTCTGCAGTTCCCGAGTCAGTTTCTCTCTCTTCTCATTTGCGGGAGACTCGATTTTGAGATTTATATCTACGCTCCTCACTCACGCGCTTCTGCACGTTCAATTTAATTTTATTTGAGCACCCTTGAACTATGAGAAAATACCATTTTGTCCCTCTAGTTAAGATTTCAAAATTTTAGCCCCTATTTGGTGGGAATTAAAATCAGATTTTCAATAATTTTTGAAAAAAATTGATGAAATGTGATTTTGAATCATATAAAATGTGTGGTTAAAATTAGTTGTTGACTTTGACTCATATTAAAGTCTGAATTTTGAATTTCTACCAAACAGAGGCTTAATCATTATTATTACGAGTAGTTTGGCTAAGCTTAAACATATGTAAAATTTGTTCTCAAATATATTTTGATAACTTAATATATTTTAAAGTGGGTTTTATCTTACCGTACTCATTTTCAATTTTTATTAATAAGTAGAATATTTGATCATTCCAGTTATGAAAGTTAATATGCTTTTTAGAGTCTGTTTGTTTTCAATTAAAATTCAATTAAAATTGAAAATATGACCGTTATTGGACCTACTCGTCTAATAAAAGTCAACAACAACAACTAATTTTTCAATTTTAATCTGATTTTAATTTCTACCGAACATGCCCTTATTATTTTTAGAGCATTGTTGGATAAGTTTGATGAGGGTGTGTTTGATATATATTATTGAGAAAATAATGTATTTTAAATAGTGATATGATGGAAAATATGTGGTTAAAAAGTAATGAAAAATTATTGATGTGAAGGAAAACATTATTTTATTGAAAAATGTGTGATTGAAAATGAACTTTGAAAAAATGTATTTTGAAAGAATGTGTGTCAAACAAAAGCTAAATAAGTAATGAAATTTTTATTTTCTAATTGACTTTTTAGATTTCTTTCCTAGCCGACAATTTGCTACACTTGTTTGTTCTCGTTCAGTTGAAAAAAGAGGTATATTCATTTTAGTTTTTGAGATAGAACACTAAGGCCCTGTTTGATGTTACATATTTTGCATGGATTTTCAAGTTCCAACTTTTTGATTGTTTGATAGCCAATTTTTTCTTGGCAATTGGTTTTCATGCCAACCCCCCATGTGACCCCTATTTCCATATATTTATTGAATCCATTTTTCCATCACTTTGGTAGGAAAATTGTTTTCATCCTTTTTTTTTTCGTAATAGAAACAAATTCTATCCCTAATCGTAAAATAATTTTTTTTCTTTCAATGGACAATTTTCAAATAAAATAAAGTCAAACGAACACCAAAAGATCCAAAATTTCAACATTTTTCAGGTAAAAAATTATATCAATCGAACATAATTAATTAACAATTCCTGGAAAAACAAGTTCTAAACAATTATTTTCTTTAAAATTCATTTTCTTTCCATCAATTTTTTATTCTTGCAATCAAACGGATTATATAGGACAAAATTTGTTTTTGGTTTATTCATTTTCAAAAATAATTACAGAAATTGTTATGGTGGGATCTATCTCTAAAATCGATGCCGATGGGGAATGAGCATTTAGTAATAGTCCCAGTGGACCAAGTGGTCCATTAAGTACAACGTGAAAAGTAAATACTGTCTGTACTGGCCATGTACAACTTTATTATGCACAGGATAAAATTTAATTTCAATCTAGCTCAATGTACAATTTTATTTGACATTTTTTTTTTACAGCCTCCTCATATGAGGTGAAGTCCGCGATTGTGGGCTCCACCCCATGTGAGAGATTGTCAAAAAAACTATCAAATAAAGTCGTAATTGTAGCAATGTTCTTTTAATTTTGCAATTTCATCTTTATACAATAATGTCGTGTTTGGCATGCCAGATGAGAGGGACAATAACCACAACAAATTTTACAATCTTGACATACATCGGACTCGTTTGGCAGAGTTTTTGTTTTTACTTCTGTTTTTTATAAAAGTGCTTATCGATGAAGTTATTTGAGACAGTTTTTTTTTTTTTTTTT